TCTCAGTGAGTTCAAAGCTAGCATGGTCTACATAATAAGTTCTAGGCCAACTGGGACTACAGGGAGACCCTGTCTCATAAAGACCAAAAAAAAAAAATGTATACTATTTTAGGGCTGGAAAGATGGCTTAGCTGTTAAGAGCACTGACGGCTCTGGCAGAGGACCCATGTTCGATTCCCAGCACCCACATGGCAGCTAACAACTGTCTGTAACTCCAGTTCCAGGGGATCCAGCACCCTCTTCTGACCTCTATGGTCATTGCGTGACATGGGTGCACTTACACATGCTGGCAATACACTTATACACATAAAATAAAAATGAGAAAAATTCAAAAATTTAAAATGTAAACCAAATAGTCAATGAAGCCATTTAACCAATACCTGTTATATATGCTGTACATTTAACAAATTAAGTTTTCATAGCTCAATTATGTCATATATCTTGAATTTACATAAGATTTCTGTTTTATTATAAAATTACTGATTCAATCAGAATTTTCTGTTGAAATATATTGTAACACTATCAATTGCTTTTAATAAAACAAAACATTGTACAATTTTCACCAGTACCAGCAATCTAAAGTTTTATTGTTTTATAGTACATCACAAATCAGAATTCATTTCAGACTATAACACTTAACATTATATTCTATAATCTAGGCTACCATGAATTTTATGACATTTTCTTTGAGTAACATAATTGATGAAAACTGGTAGTAAGTTTACATCAAAACATACAGATCATCACTAACAGTATGCTTAAATACCTCCTCTTCTGTGGACATATTTTTAGAAATCTTCTTCAGTCAATCAACTAATTATTTATCTTTATATTGTTGCATCAAGATATGTCTATTTGAAATAAGTATAATTCACAGTTTAAAAGAAAAATGAAAGTGTCCTGGTAAAGAAATTTACAGGGAAAACTATCTGAGCAATCTAAGAGTGCAGAAATGAGTGCGGGGCTGGGACTCATGAAGTTTGGCTTGACAGTCATGATCTATGCGTTGGCCATATTGTCATACACCTTACGGTGAAACGAAACACAAAGTAGATAGAGCTAAAGAAAAGAATTTTTACTACAGTCGTAAAGTTGCAAATATTTTTAGTATACCTTTTAGTTCAGAAGGGATGTGTAACTCTTTACCAATGGAAAGTTCCAAACTTTAATCCCTGTGGGCAGGACACGGTGCTTTTATCCACAGACACTGTCTTTTGCCCCTGTCTAGATTGTGATTTCAGGTTGTCGGTTTCTCTCATGGAGTAGTACACCTTTTGGACAGTAGAGGGCACTTTGAATTTAGACAAAGCCCAAGAAATCCCTGACTCTTCACTCAAGATAGCTTTTGTTTGACTATAAAGAAATAAAATAAAATTTCAGTCTAGATTTTAAATGCTGTTTATCTTTACATGATTAAAAGTGTGTTTCTATAATGTGAAATCAGTTTCTCATTTTAAAGAAGTACACTAATGTCAATTGTATCAATGTCTAGAAAAGACTAATGATATAATAATAAATTATGATCAGTCTATGAATGAATAAGTCTTTTATTTTTTCTAATGGAAAGCTTCCATTAAGAACAAAACTCCATATGTAAATTAACTGAAACCTCAAAATATATATAAAATTTAAAGGCATGGAATAAAAATATATAATATTTGAATGAAATCAGATATAAAAATTTTGTTTACCCAAATCACCACAAAAATATCAACACCTATCCTTCTTTTATGAAAGTTGCATATATACTTTAAAAAGTGTATTTAATCTCACATAGATTAAAATTTTCCATTAATCGCATTTTAATAGATAGTATTGAAATGATCTGAAAACCAATTCTCTTTTTTTTTTTTTTTAAAAAAAAAAAAAGCACTTTTCAGATCTTTGTGAAATGCTTCAACATATTGCTGAAATTTTGGAAAAAAGATTTTAGTATAAATGTGATAGGGCTATTTTCTCATTTAAATGAATAACTGAATCACATTAATTTGCTATAAATGTAATATTACTTATACATGTTCCACTCCACTTCAAGTAACAAAAATAAAACATAATACATATTAAGATTTCAAAATAGACTATTACTTTTTATATTAATTTATTGAAATTTTACACCAAATTCTTTCTAAAAATATTTCATTTCCCCATTCAGTTGAAATGAGTTACCATATATACAACACACTGAAAATACGTAGTTCGACTATTTGTTCAGTCTAACCAAAAAAATTTTTTTTTCAATTTCCAGGCCCTGGAGAATTCCCTAGATTGACCTATGGAACTGGAACTTAGAATAAGAAACAAAAGACAAGAGTAACTCCATTTAATTTTCCAGCAAGTAAATAAAGTGTCTAAAATAATCAAAGCTTAAATGTCCAAGTACATTTAAAAAAAATCCATAATTGCACAGTAATACTGGACTTTGTAGATAGGATCTATCATAAACTTTGTGCAGTTTTGTTTTTTTGTTTTTTGTTTGTTTGTTTGTTTGTTTTTTGTCTTAGGGGATAGCACTAGTTAAAATAAGGTGCCTATAAATGCAAAAAAAAAAAACCCAAGAACCCTCAATTAGCTTTTGCCAGACTAATAGAGAAAAAAAAATATGCTAAAAAGATAAAAAATATTTTCCTTATCTATAGAAAATTGAATGTTTCCTGTCACCACGACTTCCAAAAACATGAGTATAAACCAATATGAAGATGTGTCTCACATGTAACCTTGCCCTTTGTCATTTTCATAAACGAAAGGCAAATAAACAGCAATTGTCGCCACTCTAAATGCATCGCCGCGCTCCGTGGCATTTATCCTTCCGCCTTCCCTCATTTGTTACTGCGGGTAAACTGTGCTTGCCACTAACACTGCTGGGCAGATCTAAAACAGGGAGTGTAACAGGCTCAAATGGACATAGCCTATTATCTCCCCCTTTCTCTCTTGCCCTTTTATGGCCTATAACTTCATTCAATCTGTAGCTACATTTATGTTCCTTTTACAACAAAAAGGGTCATAATGCTGCCTCTGATAATACTGAAATTGCCTAATTTGTTCGTCTTCTTTCAAGCCTTGGAACTGGTCACCATCTCAAGTTACGCCTTGTTTTGTCCCATCAACTTTGAAAAGGATGGTCCTGTTGGAGCTCTGCGATCCGGACCGGGGAACGCCTCTGCGTGCGAGATCCGCATGCAGACCCCGGGAAGAAGACGCGGGGCGGCACAGGCCAGGGTGACCCTAGTGCGGGACGCCTTCTAGAACATGTCCGGCGCGGTTCCGTGTGCTCGGCGGGCGGGGGCAGGTTTGAGGCCCGAGCAGGCAGCCGGTCAGCTGACGCCCAGAAGGCCGAGTGCAGGAATGCGAAGAATTTGCTTGCTCAGAAGATGCGAGCGATAGGGACTCCCCATTCTGACCCTGGTGCGCACCCGCCTAGGAGAAACCCGGCCTCCCCGCAGCTGTCGCCGCTCCTGCTGTAGCCGCGGCCGCGCTGGCGACCGCTGGGACCAGGATGCTGGGCGGGCTGGCAGCTGCTCGGCCTTCACTGCGGCCCCTGACATCTCTCTCTGTCTCTCTCTGTCTCTCTCTCTCTCTCTCCCGTCAAAGAGTCAGGACAGAAACTGAGTCTTCCATAAATACCTCCCTCCCTCCCTCCCTCTCTGTCTCTGTCTCTCCTCTCTCATCCTCTCCTCTCGCTCTCTTGCTCTCCTGTCTCCCTCTCTTGTCTTCCTCTCATTTCCCTCTTTTCATTTCCTGGCATTTCCTGCACCTTTGCTAAATAGAGGAGAGCCAACTGCACGTCGCGGAGAGCTTACTGGAGGGGAAGCTGGGGTGCATTAGTTAGGGCTTGTAACAAAGCCAGGCTCTGGGCCCTCCTGTCTCTCCTCCCGGTGCTGGTTAGCGTTTTCCTTCGCCCTGCTGCAGTGCTTTGTCAGCCTTGTTCTGGGAACTAACTCCCCCGTAGTCTCCTCCTCCTTTCTGATTTTCAAGGATGCTTCACCCCTCGCCCCCCTCCAACTAGGAAAAATACCAAAGGCATAAAAGGGAGGTAAAAATCTCTAAGATAACTTCGTATTTTGCAACTGAGATTTGAATAGGAATCCTTTAATAGATAAAGGTTTTGTGTTTTTTTTTTCAAGTCCTGGGAAAATAAAACTCAAATGGATGAATATGGCAGTGTGGGGAGCAATTAGCTGCTAATTTGGAAGAGCAGTGCTTGAGGATTTTCCTGACCTGCCCATTCATGTTAGTTCCCTTTCTAAGATCTTCCCCTTTCAAGGCTAAAAGCTGGGTATGATTCAGCTCATAAAAATATGTCACAGCAATTGGAATTTACCCTTTGACCTTCTACTCCCCCACTGCCACCTCTCCTCTGCGCGTACACACACACACAGACACACACACACACACACACACACACACCATAATTCACTAGCTAGCTGTTTTCACTACACAGATGGTAGTCTTGCTAGTGAAAACCACCGCACAAGCTAAAACTTCTAAAATCCTTATAACATGAATTATTTGCAATCTCCCTTTTAAAATGTAAAATTTGTTTTTGTGGGTCCCTTCAGATAATCATGTTCAGTGTTTAATACCGGAAGTATAATTTCTTTAGAAACTCTAGGCACTGTGATGAAATCATGCAGCAAAGGGGTAGAAAGCTATGTCCAAAATGTACAAGGAGCGTTTTCTAGTTTTTCTAGGAACCTGTTCACCTTTCCAAATAATTTTTCCTGCCTCTGTGCACTGAAAGCCCCATTATCAGCCATGGAAAAAACAGTGCTAAGTGTTCTGTACAATTTCTTTTTGTGTGTGTGAAGCTTGAAAACCCAAGAAAATGGGCAAAACGCTGAATCAGGCCACCAGGGCCAGTTCAAACGCACACAGAGATATTTTTACTGCATTATTTGAACTATTACTAAATAAAATGCTTTCTTCCTTGGAGCTTGGCAAAGTACTAATTTTCCAAAACATGAATACAACTTCTGTTGAAAAGTTAGAAATTATTTACTTACTTAGCTACAGTGTGGTACTTTCTCAGCCCTCTCAAATTGAAAGTGTTTCCTTGGCCAGACCTTGAATACCCAAAATAGGGCAGACCCTCCAGTCATGATTGGAAGTCCAAATGTTCAGGCAGGCAGCTCTTGAATCTAGAGATCTGGGGACAAAATGGACATGTTTAACATTGTTTTCTCCGTGAACACAGTGATTACAATTGATGAATTAAAATAGTCTCTGGCACTCCATTACTAGATGCTTAAGTTATGACTTAGTTGGCATGTCAAAAATGAAATTACCATGCAAGAATTGAGCTGAGTTTAACATTATTACAGATGTATTTTTTGGAGAAAATTCTTTTTCCTCTCACATTTTCAGGCTACGCTGCTGGGAATGACAGAATAGAACTTAACAATCTATAAATAATTATGTATTTTTTCTGTATCATTTTCCCAAAATTTATGGGGAAAAAGTTTACAAATTTCCTGTAGCAATTATTCACTTTCGTTAATGGTATTTCTATTTGGCACAACATAGAAATTGGCAGGTTAACAATTTTAAGTACAGATTTAGCTAATGACAAGTTCTCACTATTGTTTGTACAAGATGGCCAAGTTGAGGAGGGCTTTCTTCTTTTTATATAATGTCAGCTTTATTTGAAATTCTTAGAGCTAAAGACTTAAAGATAAATCTGCAAATACACCTAGATGTATTTTATCATTGTCACTGGCTTCGTAGAGGTCAGCCATTTTTCTTGAAACCTGGGCACCAACTGCTGGCTAGAAATATTTATCCTGAAATTCTTTGTACTTTAAATAAACTACTACTTCAAGATCTGCCATGTGTCCCTCATTCATCATTGAGGCACAATTTATGCATCTTTTTTGTGAACTTGGCTTGAAGTGTTTCCCTCATTTGTATAATCTCCAGCAATCTTTTAGGTCTACCTAGTTTTGATGGTGACTCAATAAATTAAAGCAGAGATATGTATTTGCAGTTTTATTCTGTGATTCCTCTCATAGAAAGAATGAGAATAATTCAGTTTAAAATTGAGCCATTATTTATTTTCTGTTCTTTTCCCCCAGTATTAAAAGGTCTCTATATGGGTTTCACATGATGAACATCACAGAGGGGGAAATGGTTTCATTTGGCATTTTTCATCTAAGAGAAATACGCATCTCCTTTTCCCATGGAGAGGGAGATAATATGATAACCTTCTGATTATATACATAAACGGAACCTGATCAGTTTCTCTTGTGGTTCTTTTTTTCTTTTTTTAAGGGCAAGTTCCAGTTGGAATGTACTAATGCACATATTCATGAATCTCTCCAAACAGGATTCACTGCTCTCCAGGGAACCCTTGAAGTATGCATCATTGTTTCAATGAAGCATCTTCATTATAAAACATGGGGACTATAAAAGGTGAACACCATTTGCCATAGCTTAATATAATCTCTGGTTTGGCTTTCTTCGCTGTAATCTTTCTTTCTTCCTTCATTCCTTCCTTCTTTCCTCCCTCCCTGCTTCCCTCCCTCCCTTCCTTCCTTCCTTCCATCCTTCCTTTCTGTAACAAATAAAAAAAAACTGACAAAGAATCCTAAGATATTAAATATAAGACAAAATAGAGAAAGTATGCTTTCTATTTTAAACTAAATATAATCTGCTTTGAAGTTTTACATAGACAGAATAGGAAACAACTTTAAAATCCAAAAATTCTTACATTTGACTCAAATGTTTTTGTTTTTTTATCTGATTCAAAGTACCTTATGGAAATGTCTGGTATCTGCATATGCATAAGTTTCTTGCATTGAAAATGTGAGGTCAAATGTGAAAGTATAGTAAGACGAAAGTATAATAAGTAGGTAAACACTTTCAAGGCAGGCAAAGAGAGGCACTGTTTCAGCACAATGCCTAACACAGGCACACAAGTTCTTCACGCCGTTGCCATTAGTGCAAACAAAATGACACCTCAATTGATCATTCTATTATTTATATTTGTACTCACCATATATGTGCTAACATTTCCCTTTTCTTCTCTGCAGAGTTCTACAGAACCTGAGATTTAGGGAGTTCTACTAATGTGCATGTTACAAAGAAGCCTTTATTAGAGAGGACATGAATTGAGTTCTGAGAGAGACTACAAAAGCCCTATACTGCAAATGGGAATAATGGATGCTTTATAGGGAAGGAGCACTGTCTTTGGGGTATGAAGGACAGTTTAATATGACATCTATTGCAAGGGAACAAAGGAGTTATGTAGTTCACAAATTAGGGTATTCACATCCAGATATATTAGTAGTGGAGTGTAAAGAATTTGCAATTCAGTGTAAAATGATATTGTGATCTAACATAGCACACAGTGGAATGTGACATTCCTTGAATGCAAATTGTAGAGTGATCAAAATAGATTGTGCCAGTCACAAATAACTGATACTTTGTGACTCTGTAGCAATTATCAACCAAACACAGCAATTTTTGGTGATGCTAAAAATAAGATAAGACATTTATGATTAAGCCAGAAATGATAAATGCAATTCAAGGTACCATAGATGCCTATTTTCTTAAGTTTCTCAGTGGAAACTAATTGAAGCTATTTTTAAGATGCATGAGAGACACAGCACCTATCATATGGAGTCAATAATTTATTGTTGAAAGTTAAGTCACCAATTTAGACAGTCAATTTCAGTTTCTATGTTTAATATGCCATGAGTTGGAAGAGAGCGTGAAAGTAAAGATTTAAGTACTTAAGTAGCTACCTGTAGAATTCCTTGTGTGGTGCACAGATCAATATCCAAACTGTAGTAATATTATCTCTCTTTACAGTTGGAATTAGCAGTTGCAGACAGTCTATGCTGCTAGATACACTGGGTTTCTTTAAAGCCTTGATTTCTTTGACTGTTCTCAACATTTGATGCTTTTAACTGTGCATTCTCATGCCTTTAACTCCTCTAACCTCAATCATCATAACCTGTCTCATACCCTTCTAGAAAAGTTTTCCTCTCTACTCCTTAAATGGAAACATTCCTCTCTGTTATGTACTCAACCCTGTGCTTGTTGCATTCCAAATCTGCTTAAATGCCCTTCACTATTGGTGTAGATGTACATACCTATCTAGCAATAAAGATGAATCTGTTTTTATTCTTCATCTTTGAGCTCACACTTGCTACCAATGACATGATGGACCTCATAAGAACACTGAATTCAGTATGTTCGAATTTTAATTTCTATTATTTTATCCCATCTTCCATATTCAGTTTATTCCCTTCTGCTGTGTTTTCTCATCTTAGAATCCCAACATCACTCAAACTCTTCAATCAGAAAGCCTTAAGCCAGTCTCTCTTGTGCTTTCCTACCCCATCTGCAGAATAATCTTCATCTTTGTCACTGTCCTACTTAAAACATTCATAATCTGTCACTACAATTACTGTGTAAGAGTTCAGATGTTCTCCCTGTCTCTAGCCATACTTTACATTCTTCTTCCTCAGTAGGTAGAATGAAGTCTGGAAAAAAATTTTGCAAAGCAAGCTATGACGATGATTTATCCTATTCATTAGTAAATCCTATTGAATCTACCTTCAATATATGTTTTAAATCGTATTCTCTGCCTGAATTATCCCAATAGTACATGATTACTGTTTTATTTCAGCTGTCATTATACTACAGCATAGTATTAAGATAGCAGTAATACTGTTAATGCTTAATTAAGTTAAATTGTGGTATATGTGTGAGATGTATGTATGTATGTATGTGTGTGTGTGTGTGTGTGTGTGTGCGCGCACTTAAATGTTACAGTGCTATCCACTCATGCAAAATTAAGTTAATAGCCTTCAAGGACCTATGTCTTCTATCCTCCATTGAGACTTTTTAAAAATATTTTATTTCTTATTTTTATTTTATGTGTATAAGTGTTTTGCCTGCATGTATGTGAGTGCATCCGTGTCATGCAATGCCGCAGAGGTATCTCTTTTCTATTTTCCTTCTAGTTCTCCATGGAGACTCAACACTTTGCAACAACGAACAAGACAATTGCATAAACCAATCAATGTCAAGATGATCCTGCTGCTTCTTGGCCTTGTAGCTATCTGGATTATGAGACTTAAGCCAGTTATTTTGTTTCCCTAAACATTAGTTTATTCTGCAAATCTAAACACACAAAAAAAATCCATTTCAAAGTGCTGTTGTGAGGAAACTGGATATATAATAATATATTTGCCTGTGATAAAAAAATATGCGACAAAAATTTATTCTCTATCCCTGCTCAGGCACAATCAAACCCCATTCAAGAAGTATTTCTGGGAAGGGGAGATGGTTTGGCAGGTGAAGTCCTTGCAAAAGAAGTATGAGAACCTGACTTCCAGTCCCCAGAACCTGCAGAAAGATGGGTGTAACCTCACTGTTTCCTGTAACAAAGATGAGAAGTGGAAACAGAAGGATTCCCTAAAGCTCACAGGCCAGCCATAGATAGATATTGGAGGCAGCAGTGACAGTCAACAGCAGAAAGACCTCATTTCAAGAGAGGCGGAAAGTGAGGTCTGACACACAAATTATTTGAGCTCCTTTCACGTGCCATAGCTGTGTGCAACTGTGGGCACATGAACATGTATCATAAACACACATATGCACATAATATGCATATATATATATTTAAAGAAAAGCAAAAAATAAAAATATAAAGAAGTATCTCCTAATAAAATTTAATCTCAATAAACAAAGAGCTATATTTATTTATTTATTTATTTTATTTTTTGGGGGGGGTATTTTTGAGACAGGGTCTCCCTATAGCCCCAGCTGACCTGGAACTCACTATGTAGACTAGGCTGGCCTTGAACTCATAGAGATCTGCCTATCTCTGCCTCCTGAGTCCTGGGATTAAAGGCATGTGCACCACAGCCAGCCTCGAGCTATATTTATTAACATGTAAAACTACTCATTCATACAATTTATGTAGAGATTACAGTTCAAAGTGAAGCATTGCTCATTTTATTCTAGCCTGAGAAAATTTATTGAATTATATTCAATTAGCATTATTTTGTAAAAGTATAAGTATTCTGCTATCAAAATAATATAGAAATTATAGTCAGGTATGGAGGTACATACCTTTAATCCCAGTACTGTACTTGTGAGGCATAAGCAGGTGGATCTTGGTGTGATAGAGGTCAGCCTCTTCTACATAGCAAGTTTCAGGCCAGCAATGGCTACAGAGACAACTTGTCTCAAAGAAACCAAAGAGAGAGAGAGAGAGAGAGATTATATGAAAATCATATATTCCAATGTTCTAAACTCTAAATATTCAGAAATGGCCCACTGAATCCATTTGAATTATTTTGAAATTTATTTTTAATATATTGCTAAAATATCATCATTACACTGTAGAACATGGTTTCTTAAGCTGTGGGTCAGTCGCTACCTGGAGTCGCTACCTGGAAACAATCTGATTGGTCACTAAAAATATGTCAACGTAATGGTTTCTGAAGGTTCAATGAACAAAAATTAATTCAAAATAACAAGGATGATGTATCCGAGATGTTTCTGGTAACATTACCCCCGTGACAGTGTGTAGCTCTTTGACTACTGTCATGCCGTGTAGCACCAACCACGGGTGCCTGAAACACTGTTGCTCAGATTTGAGATTATCATGTGCTATGAACTTCAGTGTTTTCACTGTCCACATAGTTTTCTGGGAATTTTGAAATATAATGGTTTAATTATGGAAAATTATGGAAATGGTTTAATAATGGAAAATATTATGGTTTAATTATGGAAAACAAATATTTAATATTTTCCTATTGTCATTCCTCAACAAGTATCGAGTTAGTATGTATTTGGATTGTATTGTGGTTCAATGCTTGATTTCAAAAATTGCTGTTCAAGCAATATCTGACTTGAATCTCTCACACACAGAGACACAAAAGTCATTCAAAGAATTTTGGCTTGTGATTAGGAAGGAATTTTCAACAGTTTCTGAAATTACTAGTTTATGCTACAGATTCATGCAGAGTAGCCCTGTCTGAATTGAGAATAATAAAATCAAACAATCAACCAACTCTGAAAAACCTTGAAGATAATCTGTATCCTATAGCATCTAACATTGTGTCAAAATTTGATTCTTCTTATAAAATAAACAAGCACATCATCTTATCATTTTTCACATTTGATTTTGTCTATAACAAACAATATGTATGCCAAGAAATTGCTGAAAACTGAATTCTTCATGATTTATTATCAGTAAATTTTTGATTTGTGTATATAACTTATATATCTATATATTGGGCATCACACACAAATTTCTTTTGTGAAAAGGGATTGTAAGTAGAAAATGTTTAAGAAGGCCTTTTTTGCAGCATTGATGGTACTGTTGGTATTCCTACAGAAATTCTGGGGTTCTTGAAATAATGACAGATTATCGTAAATAATCTTACTGTTGTTTACTCCATTAGCTTAAGGAGAAAAGGAATATTTCTTTATCCTTTGACTCTTGTAGTTTTCCTAATAGGAAAATAAAGATGATAAGAATATGCTCCAAAGATTTCTAAAAGTAGAGAAAACTAAAAGCATTCTATTAAGGATTGTAAAACTTCAAATCATTGTTTCTTTGGTAAATACTGAAAAAAAAAAAGACAGATAAATGAAACTATAAAATCCTCCCAAGAGACAAAAAGAATATAAAACAGAAAAAGTAAATATCAAATCAAACCTCAGATGACATAACTACTGAAAGCGCCCAATAAGGAAGTTACACTTTCTCTGCTACATTTTTAGCATGGCAGGTAGAAGCGGTGTGTCCTCATCTTAAAATTGTTATTAGTTTATGATGAAAAATACTATGTGAAAAATATATTCTTATCTAAATTGTCCATCAGAAAATTAGAGAATCCCTTGGAAAAAGAGACAAGTAATGAAATAAATAGATAAGTAAATAAATATACCTAGAGTAGGGGGTTTGTACACCTTTTCATCCAGTCCTTAGAGAACTAGGAGGCCTGCCAGCTAACAGTGGATTCCATGTCTTCAAAGGAGGAAATATAATAGTTAAAGTGGCAAAGAGCCTGCTCTGTGTAAATAATGTACTTTGTATTTAGTT